AAAAAAAAAACAAAGAAAAAGTCTGAAATAATGTGAGAACCACCAAAACGTGAAACAGAGATAGACATGAAGCAAGCATATGTTGGAAAAATGGTGCTAATATACTTGCTCTGTGCAGAGTTTTCCAAACCTTTAATTTGTAAAAAATGTAGTATCTGCAAAGTACAACAAAATGAGGTATGCCTGTATTCTGAAATTCTCCAATGGAAAATGTGAAGAATTTCTAGTTTCAGGTCCTTAAGAAGATTATTTCTGGTGTTGTTGGAGAAAATTCTCATAAGTAAACAAAGAGCTTAATAATATTAGCACACATCAAGGGTATTTCTGGGAAATGATAACAGTATTGCTATCTACTCCTGCTCCTCTAGCGCCTTATCCTGGCTAAGCCTCTTCTCCAGAGAGCTTTTGCAAAGTGTGATTTGATTCAAGATGGCCATGTCCTATGTTGAGTCTTATTTCCAGTCTTACCCCATTATGGAGGTTCAGAGGCTGGTAGAATTTGAGGTGATTCCAGGAGATGTGGGAGGGACCCAGCACTCACCAGAAGCTAAGTGTCGGATGATGAGCTTGTGGCAGCGGTTCCAGTGCCCAGCCTTAAATAAACAGAGGGCCTCTAAGTGCTTGTCAGATTCCATGTGTGCTCGTACAGCTTTGGCCTCGTGAATCCATTCGGCAGGTACACAGAGCTTCTGGGTAAGGAAAGTCTCTTTAGCCCAAGATTCAGGGGTCTCCAAAAGCTGGCAGTGCCGGGTAAGCAGCTCTCGAACAGCCTTCTCACGTACGCTATAGGGAGAGATAAGCTAGAATAAATCCCATCCTCATTCATGGAGAAGGCTGCCCCAGGCAGCTTAGAGTGGCCCTTGGGGCAGTCTCTTCAACTGTAGGTCTTTTTTTTTTTTGATGGAGTTTCACTCTTGTTGCCTAGGCTGGAGTGCAACGGCTGATCTTGGCTCACCGCAAATTCCGCCTCCCAGGTTCAAGTGATTCTCCTGCCTCAGCCTCCAAAGTAGCTGGGACTACAGGCATGTGCCACCACACTCGGCTAATTTTGTATTTTCAGTAGAGGCAGGGTTTCTCCATGTTGGTCAGGCTGATCCGGAACTCCCAACCTCAGGTGATCCCAAAGTGCTAGGATTACAGGCGTAAGCCACCACACCTGGCCTAAACTATGGGTGTTGGTCACTTTAAGCTTCACTAAAAAAATCAAAAGTGATCACACAAGTATTAATTTTTTAAAGTAACAGCATTGGCCAGGCACGGTACCTCACGTCTGTAATCCCCACACTTTGGGAGGTCGAGGTAGGTGGATCACATGAGGTCAGGAGTTCAAGACCAGCCTGGCCAACATGGTGAAA